CCTTTCTACAGTCTGGAGTTCAAATCTACATTCTGATCTATGTAGATGATATCTTGGTCATTGGGAATAATCACACTGCTATTCAACAACTCATTCATAAGCTCCATTCATCCTTTTCTTTGAAACACTTGGGGGAAATTGACTTCTTTCTAGGTATTGAAGTCAGGAGACAAAGTAATGGGAGTTTACATTTATCTCAAACCAAATACATCAGAGATCTTCTACACAAAGCTGGAATGCTTGAATCCAAAGGAGTCAAAACTCCTATGGTTAGTAACTGCAAACTCACCAACACAGGTAGTAATCCTCTACCTGACCCTTCTACCTACAGATCAATTGTTGGGGCCTTACAGTATGCAACTCTCACACGGCCAGAAATTAGCTTTGCAGTTAATAAAGTTTGTCAATTCATGGCCACACCTCTACAGGATCATTGGCAAGCTATCAAACACATTCTCAGATATCTCTCTGGTACCATAACCCATGGTATTATTATCAAACCCTTGCCCCTTGCCACTATTCCTTTGCCAATCTCAGCCTTTTGTGATGCTGATTGGGCATCTGATCATGTTGATAGAAGGTCCACTTCTGGATCCTGCATTTTCCTTGGTCCAAACATTATTTCCTGGTGGTCAAAGAAGCAAGTGAGGGTTGCAAGGTCTTCAGCAGAAGCTGAGTATAGAAGCTTGGCTGACACAGTTGCTAAACTTTTATGGATCCAATCTCTGCTTAAGGAACTTCAAGTTCCTTTCACTATTCCCAAAGTTTACTGTGACAACCTTAGCACAGTACAACTTGCACATAATCCAGTACTTCATTCTCGCATCAAACACATGGAGATTGACCTATTCTTTGTCAGGGAACAAGTTCAGTCTAAACAGCTTGAAGTATACCACATTCCAGCCCCCTATCAAATTGCTGATGTTCTTACAAAGCCATTGACTGCCTCATCCTTCCTTGAGCTCAAGACCAAACTTAGCGTGACTGATGTTCCACATCAATCACCCTAAATTTGTGGGGGGAATGTTAGAGATACTATATCTACGAATAATGTAATAAGCCTAGTATTCAGTTAGCCAGTTATAGTTTGTCAAGCTGTTTAGATTCAGTTACAAGTTTGTTATACCCTTCTCTATAAATACTGATGTACTGGTATTATGTGATTAATGAAATCCTTCTACTTCATTTTATACTCTGGCTACTTTTCTAATATTATGAGTATATAGTCATGCCATTTGGACTGACCAATGCTCCCTCAACATTCGAGGCCCTAATGAATGAAGTCATGAGACCTTTCTTAAGGAAATTTGCTCTAGTATTCTTTGATGATATACTAGTATACAATAAATCCAAAGAAGAACATAAAGAGCACCCGAGGAAAGTTTTGGAAGCCTTGAGGGAGAATAAATCGGTGGCTAATGAGAAGAAATGTTCATTTGGTCAAAATCAATTGAATTATTAGGCCACATAATTTCTGAAGGAGTGGCAGTTGATCCTAGTAAAATTGAAGCAATGAAGAACTGGGATGAACCTAAGGATCTCAAGGGGTTGAGAGGATTCTTAGGTTTAACTGGGTATTACATGAGATTTGTGAGAGGATATAGCAAGATTGCTGCACCTCTGACCCAATTATTGAAGGAGGATTTTAAGTGGAATGAGATGGCCAGTAACGCATTTGAAGATTTGAAACTTTCTTTGATTTCTTTACCAGTATTAAGGGTCCCAGATTTCAGCAAATTGTTTGTCTTGGAAACTGATGCTTCAGGGAAAGGTTTGGGAGCTGTGTTAATGCAAGAAGGTAGACCTATAGTCTATATGAGTAAGGAATTGTCAGTCAAACATCAAGGCAGATCTGTATATGAGAAGGAGTTGATGGCAATTGTGTACTTGCCATCCAAAATGGAGACCATATTTGTTGGGAAGGAAGTTTGAGGTCCACACTGACCAAAGAAGTTTAAAATATCTCACTGAGCAGAAAGTTATGGGGGAAGATCAACAGAAGTCATTTTCATTTTAATGGGCTACAATTTTACTATTAAATACAAGCCAGGGATTGAAAATAAAGCGGCTGATGCCCTTTCAAGGAAGTCTACCCTTTTAACATTGTCTATAGTCACCTGCGAGGAGTGGGAAGGGTTGGAAGAGGAACTAGAGAAGGATCTCAAGTGTGGAGAAATCATCCAGACAAGTTTGTGGACTACAGGATAAAAGGAGGATTACTTTACTACAAAGGGAGACTGGTACTACCTAAGGGATCAAGCAGAATACTCACCATCCTAAAGGAATATCATGATTCAGCAGTTGGGGGACACTCTGGTTATTTTAGAACCATGAAAAGGACCTCAAACCTATTCTACTGGGTAGGAATGCGAGCAGATATCAAGGAATATATTCAGGGTTGTTAAATCTGCCAGAGAAATAAATATCAAGCTTTGAAACCTGTAGGTCTGTTACAGCCATTGCCTATTCCTAACCATATCTGGACTGACATATGTATGAATTTCATAGGTGGACTACCTAAATCAATGGGCAAAGATACTATTCTGGTGGTGGTTGGTGGTAGATAGGCTGGCTAAATTTGCAAACTTCCTGCCTTTAGCTCATCCTTTTAATGCTAAGGGAGTTGCTGAGCTATTCATACAAGAAGTTGTGAAGATGCATGGTTTCCCTAAGTCCATTGTGGGTGACAGGGATAGCATTTTTCTGAGTGCCTTCTGGCCTGAATTGTTTAAATCAGCAGGTACCCAACTGAAGTATAGCATTGCCTACCATCCCCAGAGTGATGAGCAGACAGACGTTGTAAACAGATGCTTGAGGTGTATGACTGACAGGAAACCTAAACAATGGGTGAGGTGGTTACCCCGGGCAGAATTTTGGTATAATACCAATTATCACATCTCCCTACAAAATACACCCTACCAAGCCTTATTTGGACAGGAGCCTCCAACAATTGTCAGAGGAGATGTCAGTCTGACTTCATTGGCTGAGGTATCTAGACTAACAGCTGGAAGGAATGAGATTCTCAAGGAGCTGAAGGATCATCTAGCTAAAGCACAGAATCAGATGAAGTAGCAAGCAGACAAACACAGAAGAGAAGTAAAAGTGGAGATTGGTGACATGGTGTTCTTGAATTAATCAGAAGTTAAATCCGAGATTCTATGCCCCCTATGAGATTATAAAGAAGATAAATCATGTGGCTTTCAAGCTTAAACTACCAGTGGATTGTCAGATACATCCTGTTTTTCATATATCCCTATTGAAAAAGGTGCTGACACCTACAACTACTTACCAAGATCTCCCTAAATGTCTCACAGAATCGTGTAAACTACTGGTGATACCTGAGGAGGTGAAAGATGTAAGATTCAACCTTTCTGGTGAAAAGGAAGTCCTGGTGCATTGGAAGGGCCTTCTTGAGTTTGAAGATTCTTGGGAGAAGGAGCAAGTAATCAAGGAACAGTTCCCAGAGTTCCAACTTGAGGACAAGTTGGATTTTCAGAGGGGAGTATTGATAGGGATGCAGCTGAACTGAATAAGGAGAATAAGGAGGACAAATACTTCGACCGGGTCTATTCTAGAAGGAGTAAATAGAATAGTTAGTTGATAGTTATTTTCTGTTATTAGCTATTAACTACTTTCGGTTAAACTGAGAGACTGTAAATAGAATAAGTCTGGGAAGAGAAAGATAGGCTGTTAGACTGTTGAGCTGGGACCGGGAAGATTAGAGATACACTGTCTCTCTTCTTTGGGAACTCGATGTACTTTCTTCCTCCATTAATGAAAGCTTGAGTTTGTTTCTTGAATATTATTTCTATTTTCTGTATTCATACATACCTGCGAGAGTTCTATCATGGTCTTCGAGGCAGTCAGCTCTTGCCTCATTCGGCGTAAGTCTTGATGTGTAGCAAGGCGTGAGCGTCAGATTAATATCAACGATAACATTATCCAAGCCTTATTCCCACTAGCGTCAAATTAATATAAATAAAATAATTATAAAGAGGATAATCGGATTTTTTGAAATAAGAGTAAAAACAATGTGAAATTCCAAAATAGGAGTAGGATGTTTCCCCCCTAAATAGGAGTGCATTATTACCATCCTTAAATAATATTGCCATATTTTGGCATTATCAGGCATTAATATATGTTCTTACTAATAATCGTTAAAATTTAAGTTAGAACATGCTTAAGCTATAAAATTTAAGTTTCTAAATTAGTAAATTCTAACCACTACTCTTCAAACTTAATAGCATCATCAATTACATTATCATATAAATTTATAACATCATCATCAATTTCATCTCCTTCCATATCATGAGCTTCCTTCCATATCATGAGCTTCAACATCTTCATTTATGGCAGTAGCTACTTAGAAATGACAAGTGATTATAGAGAAAGAGAGAAGAGGAGATTATAGACGGAAACAGAGATAGGGTCTGTAGTAGAAAGGAGAAAAAATGGTAAAGAAGTGAAGAAAACGGGAAAAAATTAAAACAGTATCAATTACAGAGTTAGAGATAGGGGTGAGAAACCAGTAGACTCTGGAGTCTGGACTGCTCGGTTACTGTTGAAGATTGAAAGGGATGCAGACGGAAAGAACACAGGGTTCTTTCATCTGTTTTTTCATTTTCATCTGTTTTTTGAAAAGAAAAAAATACAAAATTAATAAAAAGAGATGGAAAGACTATATTTGGCTCTATGAAATCGAGGCTTAAGACTTGATAAGATTCACGCCTTTGAGCCTTACGCCTCTATAACATGGACACTACAGGGTGTAAGTCTCGTCTAAGTCATGTAAGGCTTAATCCTTAGGGGCTGTTTCTCATGCCTTGAGGCCTCAATGCTAGGCGTTAGGCTCGCACGGCTGTTAAAACCATGTAACCTTGCATAATGGACATTTTGCTTTCCTGTTACTGCCATTTTTCTGTTTAATATTGAAAGATTTCTGGTGCATTTGACAGATATTTAGCACGCTTCCAGAGTTCTAATGCATGTTTTCCTTGCAGCTGTATTTTAACCCTGCAACAGTGAAGATGCTGAGTAATCTGAAGGTATCCTTGAATAATCTCTTTAATCTCCCTGCTAAATTATGTTAGCCTTATGTGCATAGAGTTCCCAAAACTTCGGATGAGACATTTCAACAAGAGACCCCCACTCCCCAATAATCTGAAGTTCAAACGTCGTCTATCTTGAATAAACACAATCAGTTTGTGACAAATAAAAAAAATGGTAGTAATAATTTACACAGATTGCTTGCAGCCATACACAACAAGTCCCAGAAGGATTTTGAAATGAAATTACTTACATTGAACTAGACTTGATGCCATCTTGTCAGGAGATACCTTTGTAATAAAATGTACAATGCCCTTCCATTTTCTGTTCTTCTTGAAATTCCATTTATGATGGTAAAGTTAACAGGTTTTGGTCATAGCACTTTTGTTGAAGGTAATCATGAGGAGACGTTTTTCCATACTTCAGGTGAGTTATAAAAAGTTTTGCCTTTTAATTCTTATGCTGTGATTCATTGCGATCATTTATGTATGGACTATTTATCTATCCATAAAACCTGTTCTGACTCATCTCCCCTTATCCATGATTCTGTTATTTTCTAGTGGGAAGCTCTTGCACTTTTGCTTATAGGTATTAGTGTGAATCAACTGCGATCTCTGCCAGAAGGATCTATTGCTATTGGGCTTCCAGTGACAACAATAGCGTATCTGTACACACTGATTTTTGTAAGTACATTGGAATCCATTTCATTCTACACTTCTGCATACTAGTTTCATCTTTAAACAAACAGATGTTACTTGTTTAACTGTTATAGATGAGTGGCCCATTCTTTTTTCACTTGCTCATGATATCTGGCCTTCTAAGTTTAGAAGCACTTTTGTTTCATTGCACGCTTAGTCGCTTAGACATAATCTTAGTTTAAAAAGCGCACATAAGGCATGCCTAGGCGCAAGGCGCAGAGGAGCGATAAAAAAATTGCATCAGGAAAGCTGGGTACAGCAGATTTCAGAGAGCACACACTTTCCTCGCTTTCCCACCACCTTTTCACGCATCATGAGGTGTAAGCCTCATCCAACTCTGGGATTGAGTTTCACCACATAAGTGTAATGCGGCTATCAGAGTCCTGCGACTGTACAATTCTCTTGTGTGTAGTATTTATTTAAGGTGTTATGTACTTCTTAGAGTCCTATTCATGCTCTTACGGTCTTCCCCTTCTCTCTACCCCCAGACTTCGCCCATCAGGTTTCTCTCTTTCTCTAGTTAAGTTTTGTTCCTCCTTTCTTCTTGGACTTCTCTTAATCTGTTACTGTATTACCTCTTCAGTTAATATTATATTCTTCTGCTTCTGCATATTCTTCTCATGAGTTAACACTATGTCTATTGCTAATGTGTAATTGCTTGAATATTTTTTCTTTCTATTGTGACTGATTTTGGTGTTTATTATGTTTGTTTAATGACTTGTAATAATTTTGTGATATTGTCATTATTTGTTAGTAGAGGGTATCATGTAGAAGTCGTACATATATAGTTTGGCAAACCTTAATGACTAAGTTCTCATAGGATCACGCCTCAGCTAAAATGAACAAAAACGCCTCATACCGCCTCGCGCTTTTTAAAACTAAGAATATAATCAATATAAAGTTAATCATAAGAAACTTCTTGGGGGTACTTTTTTGTCATGCCCAACTACATTGTAAAATGCCAATCTTTCAACATAGCATTTCGAGCACCCTGACTGTTGTTTGTGAGGGGCTGGATAATGCGCACTCATCCACTGGGTATTACTTTCACAATATTTTTTTGAATAATGCTACCTCCGTCCCCTAACATTAGTACAAGAAGAGGTGGTGCGATTACCAAGAAAAGTGAATTTATGTGGTGGGTATTCAATTGATAAAGTGATACTAAAGTAATACTCCCTCCGTATTTTAATGTTCACTACATTAGGTTAGACACATTATTTAAGGCAGGGCCGGTCCTGAGGAAATGAAGGCCATGTGCAAAAAAAAATAATTGGGCCTTCTTTTCAAAGTTTCAACACAAGTTAAAAAAACCGAAGCGAAACCGCACCGACTCAAACGGGACCCGAAAGTCGGGACTCGAACATAAATCGGTTTAATGAAGGTTTTTTGAGTTATAAAATCGGTTCAAACCGAACCGAGTTGATATTTATTAAGAGGTATTTTAATTATTTATTTTGTAAAACAAATAGGTAATATAAAACTTGTACGTCCGTATTTCACGAATTAGTTGATTTGGTCCGGTGGTTGATGTTTAGAAATCAGCGTGCATGCTTTTATTTTCACTTGGGTTCAAATCCCGCATGCCTCGCTTCTTTTCTTTTTTGTTTCTAAAGCTTAAGATTCCCACACCGGTGGAAACGAAAGATTTACTACTCCTTCGTTCCTATATACACGCTCCTCCTTTGTAGATGAGGAATACGCCAAGTGACGAACCAGACCTGCTTCAAAGCCTTGCCCTAGTCCACCTAAGTAATATCACTCCCTCCCTCCCTCCCTCCCGCTAACATTGGAACAAGAGGGGGTGACACGCAAATTAATAAAAAGTGGTTTATGTGTTATTGAATTGATAAAGTAAGAATAAAGTAAGAATGATTTAGAGCCACACAAACTTTACCAAATTTGGTATGAGACAATCTTAATGGGACGGACCGGTAAGGTAAAATGAGACAATCATAGCGGAACGGAAGTAGTAGTATACTACTACAAAAAAAAATTGGGCCCTTCCAATTTTTTGGGCCCTGTGCGGTTGGACACCCTGCACACCACCAGGACCGGCCTTGATTTAAGGAGTAAAGTAGTAGGGGTAGTGAATAGTGTAGAAAAAGTAGGAGAGTGTGTGTAAAAGTATGAAAGAGAAGATAAAAAGTACATAAAGTAAGGCTAGTTGAGTATTTTATAAAGGGTAAACTTACCAAAAATGGAAGTGTAGGGGACTTTTAAATACAACCCAAAAAGAAAGTGCAGGGAACTTTTAAATACGGAGGGAGTAACAATTTAGAATCACACAAATGTTGCCAATTTTGGTATGAGACAATCTTAGTGGGACGGACCAAAAAGGAAAGATGAGACAATCTTAGCGGGACAGAGAGTATTTTGTTTCTGGATTTCTGACTTCTTTCATTTTCTTTTCATTGTTAAAGCATATCTAAAAGAATACTTCCTCCGTCCCATTTTAGTTAGCCAAACTTGACTTTTCAAGTCAATGCCTTCTAACTTTGACAGATTATATGTTTATATAAAGAAAATTAGCATAATATGAAAATGATATGAAAATGTTATTCATTAAAAATACTATCATAAAAGTATAAAATTATTAAATTTTGCATAAATACATTAGTTAAAATAATTGGTCGAAGTTTACCATCTTTGACTTCAAAAGTCAAAGATGGCTAACTAAATTGAGACGGAGGTAGTATAAAGCTCACTGTTCCCTTTTTTGCTATCTCACAATTAAAATCATTTTCCTTTTATGGACAGACTTGTGTGATTTACATTTGCTCTTGCCTTTAAAAAAGAAACTACACAATTTCAATTTCATATTAAGCATGCATTTCTCAGCATGTTGTTTTGTTGTTGTTGTATTAAGCATGCATTTCTCAGCATAATGCTTATATTGAGACTTAGGAGTATAAGCTATACTCTACACCAAGGAAAACTTATGCTCAGTCCTACACTAGTTTCTTTCATCAATAATCAGCCTAAATGCCACTGGATTGCTTTGTGTTTACAATATCTTTGTTTGGAATACATGCTCTTTATTTTATCCATGTTGAGGTTACTCGTGCCCCGGTTAAAAACTTAAAATTAATAAAAACGGCTCATACTGCCTCACGCCTTATAAAACTAAAGGATATAATCAATTTAAAGTTAATCATAAGACACTTTTGGTGGTATTTTTTTTGTCATGCCCCAACTACATTGTAAAATGCCAAACTTTCAACATAGCATTTGGAGCACCCTAATTGTTGTTTGTGAGAGGCTGGGTAATGGGCACTCGTCCAATGAGTATTACTATCACAATGTTTTTTTGAATAATATTTTGTTTCTGGATTTTTGTCTTCTTTTCATTTTCTTCTCAGTGTTAAGCATATCTAAAAGAATATAAAGTTCACTGTTCCCTTTTTGCTATCTCACAATTAAAATCACTTTCCTTTTATGAACAGAGTTATGTGATTTACATTCGCTCTTGCCTTTTAAAAAAGCAACCACACAATTTCACTTTCATATTAAGCATGCATTTCTCAGCATGTTGTTGTTGTTGTATTAAGCATGCATTTCTCAGCATCATGCTTATATTGAGACTTAGGAGTATAAGCTATACTCTACACCAAGGAGAACTTATGCTCAGTCCCACACTAGACTCTTTCATCAATACTCAGCCTGAATACCATTGGATTGCTTTGTGTAAACAAAATCATTGTTCGGAATACATGGGCTTTATTTTATCCGTGGTGAGGTTACTCCTACATCCTTGACTTTCAGGTTACTGTTCCATCGATGGCTTCAGTTTACAATGAGTATGCCTTGAAGAGCCAATATGATACCAGCATTTATCTTCAGGTGCAATTCCATTACCTATATTTTGAGATATTGTTTTTTCATTTAGGGATTTGTGGAGGTTGACAGAAGCTTCTGCTAGAGCATTGCCAATACTCATTTAGGTCCTATTACTTCCAACAGCTAGCTGTGCAAGTGTGCAACTAACATCGAAATTCCGAAGTCAGATTATCCAATTTGAATGTGAATAATACTTATCCACGCCTTCTAAAATATGACTTTTGTTTAAAAGAACGGGGTATTAAAAAATGTATTATATGTGCTGGTGGAGGGAGCAGAAGGGATCCCTGTAACCCTGTTAACATTATAATTCCCATGGGGGATGGAGAGTAGGGTAGGGGGGTTTGGCTTACAATTTGATGTTCTCACATCCCTATTTCCTGGTGCTCTTCAACATGTAGTGCACATTCCTTATTTACATGCACTATTTGAAGAAAAACTTTATGCGTGCAGAACTTGTTTTTATATGGTTATGGTGCAATCTTCAATTTTCTTGGAATACTCATATCTGCCCTTTTCAAAGGTACGCATTGAAACCCTAATGCATTTACAACTTTTAGTAACAATAAACCCTTCATTGAAACCCTTCAAAGCTACAAAGTATTAACTTTTTCATTTCTGCCTACATTTTTGATAGATCATACAATATTGAAGACTAGATTCTCAAAGAACAACCCACAGTACACACACTTTATTCACCAGATTAAAGTATACAAGCTGTAGACAATTCGAGATGCCTAATCTCCCAGTCCTATTCTAGCCAAGAGTCTAAAACTACCTTTAGCTAGTTGAGCCCTTTTATTTATAGTAATGTCCACGCAGGGACAACAACTAACTAACTAACCCGTTAGTTATTAGTTATTAGTTAATAGCAACATTCCTATTAGCTCTTCTTTTATACACTATTATAAAATTCTACCGGTTGCCTTGCTGCATGTCTAACGATACCCCCCTGGAAATTCACCTTGTCCTCAAGGTGAAACTCTGGAAATTGTTCTTTGATCATTTTCATTGACTCCCATGAATCTTCAAATTGTGGCAGATTGCTCCAATGAACCAACACTTCCCAATTACCATCTGCATCAACCCTTGTGTCCAAAATTTCTTCTGGCACCACCTTTAGCTCCCATTCTTCATTCAGACACTTGGGTAGAGGTTGAAAGTAGGTAGTAGATGAGATAGCCTTTTTTAACAAAGATATATGAAACACATGATGAATTTTGCTATCTTCTGGCAACTTCAGCTTAAAAGCCACAGAACTGAGTTTCTCAATTATCTGAAATGGGCCCTAAAATCTTGGGCTTAATTTTTGGTTCACCCTCTTAGCTAAACTCCTCAGCTTATAAGATTGAATTTTCAGATAAACCTGATCCCCTATCTCCAATGTAACCTCTCTCCTGTGCTTATTGGCCTGCTGCCTCATCTGATTCTGAGCTTTGGCCAAATTCTCTTTCAACTCATCCAATATCATATTCCTCTGAGCAGTCAACTTTGAAACTTCTTCTATTGCAGTAACTGTAACATCTCCTCTTATTACTGCAGGAGGGTCCTGTCCAAATAGAGCCTTGTAAGGAGTGCTTTTCAGTGCAGCATGATAGTTGGTATTGTACCAATACTCAGCCCAATATAACCAGTTAAGCCATTTTTTTTGGTTTTCTTCCTGTTAAACACCTGAGATAAGTTTCCAAGCATCTATTAACCACCTCAGTCTGACCATCAGTCTGAGGATGGTAAGTTGTACTGTACTTCAATTGTGTCCCAGCTAGTTTGAATAGTTCAGACCAAAAAACACTGAGGAAGACACTATCTCTGTCACTGACTATAGTTTTAGGAAACCCATGTAATCTGACCACTTCTTTAATGAACACATCAGCTACCTCCTTAGCATTGTAGGGATGTGATAAAGCAATAAAGTGAGCATATTTAGTTAATCTGTCCACAATTACAAGTATAGTATCCTTTCTTTGTGATTTGGGTAATCCTCCAATGAAATCCATGCTAATGTCAGTCCAAATGCTATTTGGAATAGGGAGTGGTTGTAGTAGGCCTGCAGGCTTCAAAGCTTGATATTTATTAGTCTGACAAACCACACATTCTTCCACCCACTTCTTTATATCCTTCCTCATACCCTGCTTCAAAGATTGGATACTCTCTTCATGGTTCTAAAATATCCTGAATGTCCTCCCATGGCAGTTTCATGATATTCCCTCATGATCTTTGTGATTCTGGGTGATCCTTGAGGTAGAACTAGTCTCTTGTTCTAATATAACAAACCTTTAATGATCTGAAATTCTGAATATTGATCTGGATAAGAAATCACCTTCTGAATCAACTATGCACACTTGATGTCAGCCTTCAATTCTTCTTCCAACCCATCCCATTCTTGACATGTCACAATTGAAAGAGACTGGAGCATAGGTCTTCTAGACAGAGCATCAGCAGCTATGTTTTCTATCCCAGGTCTATATCTGATGATGAAATTGTACCCCAACAACTTAGAAGTCCACTTCTGTTGTTCTTCTCCCATCAATCTTTGCTCTGTCAGAAACTTCAAACTCTTTTGGTCAGTTACAATCTCAAAAGTCCTTCCCAACAAATAGGGTCTCCACTTCTGTACTGCTAACACAATAGCCAAGAGCTCTCTTTCATAGACTGATCTGTTTTGGTTTCTTTTGGATAATATCTTGCTCATAAAAGCCACAGGTCTGCCTTCTTGCATGAGAACTGCACCTAAACCAGTTCCAGAAGCATCAGTCTCCAGAATGAATGTCTTATTGAAGTTAGGTGTAGCTAGGACTGAGAGTGAAGTCATGGTTCTTTTTAACTCCTCAAAAGATTGTGTAGCTTGTTCTCCCCACTGAAAACTGTCTTTCTTTAGGAGTTGTGTAAGGGGTGCTGCAATCTTACTGTACCCCCTTACAAATTTTCTGTAATAGCCAGTTAACCCCAAAAACCCTCTCAACTCTTTTAAATTCTGAGGTTTTGGCCAAGTAACCATGGCTTCAATCTTGGTAGGGTCAGCTGTTATTCCTACTCCAGAAATAATGCCCTAAGTAGACTAATTGAGGTTGTCCAAAAGAGCATTTCTTTAGGTTAATCATCAATTGATTATCCCTCAAAGCAGATAGGACTGCTCTCAAATGCTCTATGTGATCCTCCTTAGTTCTACTGTATACCAAGATATCATCAAAAAAGACTAAGGCACACTTCCTCAAATAAGGCCTTAGTACCTGGTTCATCAAAGCTTGGAAGGTAGAGGGAGCATTAGTTAGACCAAAGGGCATCACCAAATATTCATAATGGCCTTCATGTGTCCTGAAAGCTGTCTTCATCCTATCTTCTTTCATCCTGATCTGATGGTAGCCAGATTTGAGATCCAATTTAGAAAATATGGTAACCTCCCCAAGTTCATCAAGTAGCTCTTCAATGACTGGAATTGGATATTTGTCAGGAACTGTGATTTTGTTAAGGGCTCTGTAATCTCCACAGAACCTCCAGCCACCATCCTTCTTCTTGGCTAAGAGTATGGGACTGCTGTAAGGACTATTGCTATTCTGGATGATCCCAGAATCAAGCATCTCCTTCACAATCTTCTCAATTTCAGTTTTCTGGTACTGTGGGTACCTGTAAGGTCTGATATTAGGTATCTTAGCTCCTTCCTGAATAGTTATTGAGTGATCACAATTTCTTCTGGGAGGTAAACCCTCTCTAGGTTTTGTAATTTCTGGAAATTCTTCCAAAATCTGCTTCCAAATGGTTTCGAGTCCTCCTTCTTGCTCCATTTCTATGTTCTTCCCTTCACAATATAAGAAGTAACCATCTCCATTATCACATAATATTTGTGAAAATGTTTTCAATGACACTTCCATTGAATTCAGCTTGGGATCTCCTTGAATGCACACCTCCTGCTCCCACTGCTTCCATTTAATTTTCTGTTTCTGAAAGTTTATCTCCACATCCCCCAAACTTGTCAACCAATCCATACCCAATACCAAATCAGTGCCTCCTAAATTGAGGATATAAAAATCCTGTATTATCTCAGCTCCTTGTAGGTTCAATCTCAACTGAGGACACTTCTTATTATTGGATATATGATCCCCATTGCCAATCTGCACTTTGTAATCAGAAACAGTCTGAAAAGGCAGTTTCCATTGCTCAACCAACTGCTGTGAAATAAAATTGTGGGTAGCCCCATTGTCAATCAACACATCCACATGTTGATCTCTTGATTCTCCCATCAGAATCCCCTGCACTTTGAAAGCCCTCATGGTAGGAATCCCTTCTTTTCTCATCAAGGATAACTGCACAGACTTAGATTCCATTACTTCATTAGAGACATTTTCTGGTATGGTGACTTCAATTTGTTCTGATTGTTCTTCCTCAACTGATTCTTCAATCAACATTAACTTGAAATTGTTCAATTTACAAGTATGTTCCTTACTCCACTTTTCACCACATTTAAAGCATAACCCCTTTCTACTTCTCTCCTGAAATTCCTCTTGAGATAACAGGGGTCCTGTTCTTTTAATTCCAGTTGGATAAGAATCAATAATCTTCTTACCAATCTTGTCCATTCCAGGATTATTGTACTTATTCTCAGCTACAATTTTACTCTGAGATGGCCAATTGTAACCAGATTTCACTCTGGAATTATCTCCCCAACTCTGTCCTTTAACTGGTACAGAACCTCTTTCCCTTACTGACAGTTTGTCCTCTTCCTTCCTTTTCCCAAACTGTGTTTCAATCTTCTGTTCAATAAGTACAGCTCTATCCATGATCTCAGTTAAAGACCTGGATGCATACATCTTCAGCTCAGATTTGATCTCATCCTTCAAACCTGACATGAATACCCCTCGCAGCAATTCCCCATCCATATGCAATTGTGGAGCTATCACCATTTCAAACTCTTCTCGATAGTCTTGCACATTTCCAGTTTGTCTCAAACTTAGCATTGGTCCATACGGATTCTGAATCAGTTCTGGTTGAAATCTGCGAATGACAGATTTCTTCAAAGCATCCCAACTTGTTTCTTCAGTTTGATTTTCCCACAAATGGAACCAATTAAGTGCTCTATCCTCCATCGCGATCATAGATGCTTCAACTTTTTCTTCTTCCGCAATGTGATTTAAACGAAAATATCTCTCCATGCGTATGATCCAATTATAGGCTCCTTCGCCATTGAATAAAGGTAAATCTACCTTTCTAATCTGTGCTCTCATATACTCATTATTACGTCGAGCATTATGGACAGGAGAGTTAACAGAATTACCTCTGGAGTGTACCGGACTGCGCGAATTCCTCATATGATGAGTTTGAGGTGTTCGCGACCTTCCTCGGTTCTGAAACTGTGCCGCCATCGCATCAATCTTAGCTGCGAAAACTTCCAATGCAGATTGCGTCTCCTGTTGTTTTTGTTCCATTGAATCCAAACGACGATCCATTTTTCCTCTCGTTTTAACCATCCAATTTCGAACGAACAAAATTTCTGGATCTTCGCACTTCTGTAATCGCCAGGAGCGTAATGCTCTGATACCAATGATAGATCATACAATATTGAAGACTAGATTCTCAAAGAACAACCCACAATACACACTTTATTCACCAGATTAAAGTATACAAGCTGTAGACAATTCGAGATGCCTAATCTCCCAGTCCTGTTCTAGCCAAGAGTCTAAAACTACCTTCAGCTAGTTGAGCCCTTTTATTTATAGTAATGTCCACGCAGGGACAACAACTAACTAACTAACCCGTTAGTTATTAGTTATTAGTTAGTAGCAGCATTCCTATTAGCTCTTCTTTTATACACTTTATTATAAAATTCTACCGGCTGCCTTGCTGCATGTCTAACAATTTTTCTATAATTGCTTCGCTCTTTAATTGGTTCATTGTATTCGAATGCATATGCTCTTTAATTGCTTCATTGTATTGATTACATACTTACATAGTTTACACTATGTATACGAATTCATAGTATCTTCCCAGGCTGATTGTTTAATAGTTTACATTATGTTTTCTAGGACCTCATAGCTTGGATATTTTACAAGGACACTCAAGGGCGACTATATTTTTAATATGCAACAATGCTGCACAAGGGGTCTTGTCCTCATTTTTCTTTAAATATGCTGGTAAAAATATTGCAGATTATTTCTCATTTTTTACAGTTTGGATATCCAGCACTACATATCACTAGCAAATGTTGCATGTGAGGTTCTGACTGATCTTAAGGAGGTTATTGTTTTCTGGGTCATTTTGACAAAAACTTGGCAGAAAGTTTGATACCCATAAGGTTCTTCTCCGTGGCACAATGAAAGGAAATCAATTCTATCTGTAGCTATTACAGTTTACTAGCCAAAGTTGTCATGGCACACGACGATCATCGTGGCGCCGGGGCAGTTTACCGTGGTGATGGTGACGGCTCATTTATGGCGTCACCACAGTACATTAAAACTAAGAAGTATACATATGACCTGTAGACCAGATAGTAGTATGACTTAACCACCAATAAAAGAGTTAACTAACCAAACTAATACTATGTCACATATTTCGATATACATAATATACAGTGTCACATATACCACCTCCGTTCTTTTTTAATTGCAATAGTTTGACTTTTACATTTGCTAACACACAATTTTGACCGTAATTATATTTAATTATGTATTAATAAACATTATAAAAATTTAACATTTTTGAAATCCACATTAAGAGAAATTTAATACCTCCGCCCCCCTAATATTGGGACGGAAGGGAGTGGTGTGATTTTTAAGAAAAGTAGAATTATGTGGTTGATAATGAGTTGAAGTGAGAATAAAGTAAGAATGAATTAGAGCCACATAAATGCTACCTAATATGGTATGGGACAATAATAGGGGGACATCCAAAATTGAAAAAATGGGACAATTATAGGGAGCGGAGGGAGTAATATTTTATACATAATAATTTGATTATATATATTAGTAGAAAATCATGGTCAAAGTAAGGTGTGAATAGTGTAAATTTAAAGTCTTACAACTTTTAAAGAACAGAGGGAGTATATTATACACATATATACATTATACATACATAATATATAGCTTATAATGCACGAACATTTCGCTTTGGTTGATAAGGAACCACATATTCCAGCCAACACATCAATTGCCATAATGAAGTAAAGATAAGAATGATATACATAGCTTCGGATGATAAGGAGCTGCATCATATACTACGTATAACATATGTAATATACATAATATACAGTATATGTCTATGCCCATACATAGTATATGTACCATATGCTACCTATTACATACAGTAAATATACATCGCATGACTCACACTTACATGGTGTTTCGCTGGGTGGTCGCTGGTCGCACAATCTCTTACTGAAACTCTTCGTTACACCATGTTTATTCTTTGATATTAGCCGTTAGTTCTCGATCAGTCTCATGTGTTAGTCTTTGCCATTTAGGCCTTTAGGGTTTCAAAAAATCAGTATTTGGCTTAAATTGTTAGGATGTTTTTACTTGGATTGTTTTCAGTCCCATACCAGACTTCTATAGTTATAAAATACACAGAGACCAAACATTTACCAGACCAATCCAAACCAGACCCGACTAGATCAGACTTAAACGGACCAGGCCAACAAATTTCAATTCAAATAAAGAGATCCTTAATAGGCGTGAAAAAACTCTAAAAAACACCCAAATATAGCGCATATGGAGCAGATGGCGACGCCAGACCCAGGTATTGTGTCGAAGCCCTCTCCAAACGCCAATGGAGTCGCTAGACTCAGGTATTGTGGCGAAACCCTCTCCAAATGCCAATGGTGATAAATAGCGATCGCCATTTGCACGCTAAACTACTCTGTTACTAGCCATTAGAAGTTTGCTGAAAGCCAATAGTTGCTAATATAGTAGCTGATTTAATTCATATTTCGATTCGTGTCATGACTCCGATATCATACGTCGGTTCATGTTAGTTGACCCCAAACTCTTTTAGGAGTAAGGTTGGACGCTATTGTAGACTTGTAGTTGCTGATTTAATGTATTGCTTGGTACAAGTAGATGATGAATATAAAGACGTGTTTTAATAATTGATGTGGCTTTTCAATATGAAGCAAAGGACAACAGCAGAATAAGAAAAGCAGGCTTCTCATAACATGCCCTTAAAAGCCAGACCAATAAGCTTCAGATAAGCAAGCATAGTTTTCCATTGAAAAAAGTTCTGGCCTACCTTTTTGTGTCTGTTAACAAGCTCGATGCCTAGATAATTGTTCTACCTGACATGCCTAAGCTAGCATCTCGTAAGCTACTCCTATAAACTACAGGGGAACTCTAAGAAGCAAGCATATATTTTTCTTCTTGTAAAAATGTATACCGAAGGGGAGCCTTGATGCACCGGTTAAGTTGTTGCTGTGTGACCGGGAGGTCACGGGTTCAACTCTTGGGAGTAGCCTCTTGTCAATATTTGACAGGGGAAGGCTTGATCCCAATACACCCTTGTGGTGGGACCCTGCCTTGTGGGGATGTTTTCGTGCACCGGGCTGCCCTTTAAAAAATGTATTCTCTGGCCTACAAATGTTGCCTAACATCTCTTAAATGCAGATGCTTTCCTCTTTTTATTATAAGCTTCAAGATTTCGAACTAGAATTTGGTCTGCCAAACACACAAAGTTTGAATATTTTATGCAAGCCTTTTTGAGGAATTTGAAACCTAGACAACAACTATTTCAAACATTTTAGAGTTGGAACTCCAAGTTTTTGTTTGATATGTATTAGACTATATTAATCCATCATTTCTAATGGAGCCTAAGACTCGCTATTTTCTAGCTTGAGAATACGATGGAATAAAGCAAAACTACTCACTAAACTGTCTGCTCTTCTTTGTTATAAAGTAGTAGTCTTTTCGTGCAATTTTTGACGCGATTTTCATCATAAGTCATCCAGAAACAGTCTCTCCCTACTTTAGTACTTGGTTAAGGCGGAGTACATCCGACCCTCCTTACCCCACAGTAGATGGGAGCCTTTACGGCACTGGTGTAATGTTGTTGCTGTTGTATGTATTAGACTATATTCTCACTCTTGGCTGTAGACTTTTATAACAAAACTTTCATGCTGTTTCGTGCACTAGTAGTAACAAAAAAAAATCCTTCCATTTTGGTACTATCAATATTCTTGGTTCAAATTTGTGTACCATATTGTTCTGCATAAGTGTTATGTCCATTCAATAAGAGCTATCAAGTTTGAGTTTTCTGGACAGAATTTAGTCTTGTAAGTTAAACTCTATCACCTTGCCACTAATACTGAAATGCACTAAATTGTTCAAACTTTGTATTGTGGACGCAGATACAATCCTGAAGAAATATTCATCCACCGTTGCCACAATTTTTACTGGAATAGCATCTGCTGTTCTGTTTGGTCATACCCTGACAATGAATTTCGTTTTAGGAATCTCTATAGTGTTCATCTCAATGCATCAGGTAATTGGTGAAAGTTTCTTCTCTTGTTTTTTGTAAATATCCTCTGTTTTCCACCCTTTTCCCCTCGACCTCCTTTTCTTTCTTTTGTTTTTTAATGATTTTGTCCTTATATATATATATATATATATATATATATATATATATATATTCAAGGGAACCAGCTTATCCCTCACATTCTTAAAAATCCATTCTTTAAAAGATATATATATATACAGAGAGCTCTTCCTGTCCGGCCAGGCCGGAGGAGGCTCCTGTCCGGCCACCTCAATTTGAGGTGCTTCCGGGTAGTATTTTTGGTTGATTTTTTTGTGTATGTTCCTCATCAATTCTAGTTCATCCATACCAAATTTGAGCAAAAAGTTCAATCGGGAAGGTCTTCAAATGATTTTTGCATGAAAACTGGTCCGGAATATACATATAAAAACGCAGTTTTCATGCAAAAATCATTTGCCGACCTTCCCGATTGAATTTTTTGCTCAAATTTGGTATGGATGAACTAGACTTGACGAGGAACATACACAAAAAATCTCATCCAAAAACACCACCCAGAACCACCTCAAATTGAGGTGGCCGGACAGGAGGTTCCTCCGGCCAGCTCGGACAGGAACTTTAGTGTATATATATATATAGAGAGAGAGAGAGTCCCTTTCCTATACATACGTCCTGAAGAGAACCTTCGTGCAGACAACACCATCAGAGGGCCTTCCCGGTGGAATTTTTTGAGCATGTTCTTCATCAAGTCTAGTCTATGCATACCAAATTTCAGCTCAAAATTCGAGCGGTAAGCCAGTTAAATAAAGTCTTGAAACATACTGCGCTTTATATATGTACAAAATGCGCAGTATATTTACAAAATTTATTTAACTGCCTTTCTGATCGAATTTTGAGCTGAAATTTGGTATGCATAAACTAGACTTGATGAAGAATATGGTCAAAAAAATTCATCAAAAATTTCCACCGGGAAGGCCCTCTGGTGTTCTCCGCACAGGGGTTCCCTTCAGGACGTATGCACATGAACTGCTCTCTCTCTCTTTCTCTCTCTCTATCTCTCTCTCTCTCTATATATATATATATATTCTATTTACGCCTTTTTATCCTATCTTTTTTATGTATATCTTCTCTCCATTTTATATTATCCCTCTTATCTTTCTTTTTTTGGCTCCAATATCATGTTAGCTGATCCTAAAATGTTTTGGGACTAAAGCTTGGATGTTGTTTGTAAATATCCTCCGTTTCATATCTCGGAATGTTTATAACAATTCTGGTAAAATGTATATATAGTCTTCCCCCCTTTCTACTACACACACACACAAGTAATTGAAGAATTCTGTCGGACCAAAACGGTTCTCACTATATGATTGTGCCAAAGATGGTCCAAAGGTTCACATTCTTTGCTCATTCGTACTCCCTCCGTCCCTTATAACATTGTCAACGTTTATTGGTACGTAAAATAATAAAGTAAAGAATTGTGTGGTTGATGTTTATACAAAGGAGAGAGAAATAACCTGAAATACAAATTCATTATTTAAAAGGGAAACTTGCAAAGTTATAACTTATCAGGGATGGAGGAGGGGGTATTAAGCATTCATTTCAATTGCTGGATCGTTTCAGTGATTAAATTTTCATTTCAAACGTTAAGATTCATATCGACATTTTCAAATTTCACCAAAGATAGCATCTATACTTTTATCTGTTCAGTTCTTCTCACCCATGTCAAAAGTCAAGGAGGACCCACAAAATGGTGGTTTGGAAATCATAGATACTAAATTCAGGTACGCCCATTCTTCATTATTTCATTTCATTTATTGTATACATATTACAGACACAAATGAATGAAAATCCTGAGTGTGGATCATGAAAAGCATTTCATTAGATGGATTTGTAATATTGTGCAGGTCGAAGGATTCTTCATTTTTGGATATGGCTACTGGAGCCCATGAAAATGTGAGAATCCATATGCACTGTTAAAAAAGCTACCTGTATTATTGTCTTCCTGATTTTCAAGATTTCCATTATTATTCCTTACTCTTATTTTCATCTTTTGCAGGCAAGCCATCGGATCCCACTTGATGACAGAGAACCTCTTCTACCTAGATGAAACTATCAATAGGTAATGCGTCTGTTGTTTGGTAGAGCAATGTGGGAGAGATGTCACAGTTCCACTTGGCATTAGCTGCCGTGCTTTTGTTTTTCTGAATTGCAACATTTCAATTTTCAACTGTATACAATTTTTAGTTGAAGTCTTTATTTACGTTTTTGATAAAAATTGAGAGCATGCTCTTTTAGCAAGATGTGAATATATATAAATGCTTAACCATTGGTTTTGATTAGAAATAATTTCAGGTATATACAAATCATTGGAGTGGCATTCTTTGGCTTGTCAACATAGATGGACAGTACAGATGTTGGACCATTTATATATATAATAATGATGATGATCAATCTCAAGAGTATTACAATCATTTCTTTTTCTTTTTCTTTTTTAACTCAAAAAGGTCTAGGAAAATTTGGTAAGAGAGAGCACCAAGATTTTGAAGCCTGGTATATGAGGATAATTTTGTATGTAGTATTTGTTTCTTGCTATTTTTATTTAGGAACTAAAATCCGCAACTCGGACATATTTCCATTTAATACGTACGTTGTAGCGAAGTCCGAACTGTTAAAGTGGTCAAATCACGTTCCCTGGTGCCTCTATGTTGATACATCCTATAGCAGTAAACAACTTTTTTTGCGTAGTTCTTTTTTGGTTTGACTCGAAATTCTATTATCTTTTTGGAGAGAACAACGTGACAAAATTTATTTCTTATCAATTCAATATCAATAATATAAACTCACATTTCTTAGTATTGTGCCACCCGTCCCAGTATCATAAATAAATCACTAGTTCCTTTTCTGAGGTATAAAAAACATTTGTTGTAATTTAATAACTTATTTTTTGTCTTCAAACTAACAGCAAGTTTTTCTATACATGATACTTTGATTACAAATTGGGTTTGTACTTTGTATTATGATGGAATTTTTTAAACTGTACTTTTAAGAAAACCATTTACTTTTAAATCTAGACTTTTTATAAATCATTTTTGTTGATTTGTAGTAATTTATGGATTTCGTATAAATGATGTCTATCAATTCCATGTAAAATATAAGTTTAAACTAGAATTATGTTAGGTACATTTGGCCCGCTCTAGTCCCAATTCTCAATGGGCTAGTCTAGGGATGGATTGAGCCGGTTAGGGCCGGCCCGGGATCGGACTGGACCGGCCTATCGGGACCGGGACTGGGGGCCTGAATCGGGGTTATTAGGGGTGGGCTACGGGATGCATGATGATTTCTTTTGGATTGAAATTTGGTGGTTTGGTAAATGTTTGGTCTCTATGTATTTTATAATTACAGAAGTCTGGTCTTGTCTGGTCTGGGATTGAAAACAGTCCAAAAGAAAACATCCACATATATGGTGGACCAGCTCGGTCGGTTCGGGCCCAAATTTTTTCTCACATTTATTGGTTGCTAGGCAGGTGGGGTTGTGTGGTTTGGCCTTAGGTTTGGGTGATGTGGGTGGGGGAGGGGTAGGAATAAATCTGGAAAAACAAATTTAAAAAAAACATAGACCCGACTAGACTCGACCCGGGCCTGGTCTTTGAACCAACTCGGGCCGATATGGGGCCAGTACCGGGCCTTCATCCCAAAATCCTAGTCCCGCCCAATATTCGCCCGAGGCTTAGGGATGGACCGGTTCTGGTTCGGGCCCGGCTGGGCCTTGGTTCATGAAGGGGAGGCCCGGAACCGGCCCGGGTAACCCCCGGGTCCGGGTCGGGTAGGGTCGGGCCGCGGTTCAATTTTTTTTTTTGGCTTTTCCTAGTTACCCCCAACCCTCCCCCTCACCCCCAAACCAACCCTAACCACCTCAAATGGCTCAAAATACCCAGCCCAACCCAAAAACTTAAAAAAAATTCAAAAAAATGAAAAAAAAAAATTGGCCGGGCCCGGTTCCAAACCGGTCGGGCCGGTTCACCCTTTGAAGGGCCCGAGACCGAACCGACATCCCACCGGGCTGGGTGGCCCGAACCGGCCAACCAACAGGTTCACCGGGCCGGTCCGGGTTGGTCCGGTTCCGAGTCCAACCCTACCGAGGCTTGGCCCAACCTGGGCCTGGTCCATCCCTAGGCTAGTCTTGGCTTTAACATATGGAAGCCAGAAGCTGACTCGGATAATATGGGTCCCGGTTTGGTCCTGAGTACTTGGGTAACTTGGCCCGTATCGGGTCCGGTCTGGGCGGTTTTTCTGATTCTTAGTTATTACTCCCTTCGACTTACTAACTTGTCCAATATTTCTTTTTCGGTCCATCTCAATAAGTTTGTCTCATACTAAATTGGTAAAGTTGTGTGGTTCTAAATAATTCTTTATTCTTCTTTTATCAATTCAATATTAATCATATAAACTCACTTTTCTTATTAGTCGCAACACTTCCTCATTTCCCAATGTTAGTGAGACGGAGGTAGTATATTACTAATACAAACAAAAATGTTACATATTAAAAATGAAATGTAGATTTAATTGAAACATTACATTGACTTTGACATTTACAAATTACAATTGAGGACAGTTACATTACATTACATACATTTCTTATTCGTCAGAACTCCTGCTTTCGGCGTCGGTTATCGTTTCCTTCATAAAATAGTGATGCAGTGCTATGTTAACTTCTTGAGTTTTATGTCGCACCTTCATCCAATCGTGAAAGCAGACCAGTGTCTTAAGAGATTGTATGCTCAACCTTGTTCTACAATTGGTTTGGACATTGTCGACTTCACTAAATTTTTGTTCCACGACAACCTTTGAAACGGGCATTAACAACACTTGTTTCAACATTTTTATAAAGAGGTATTTACCTAAATGGGAGTAATTAAAATTTTAATTGCAAAAATAGGACCAAAGTTTAAAAATCCCCTAAATAGGAGTTATTAATTGTAGTAAGACATAAATACCCCCATCTTGACAAAACATGTTGCCGCTGATTGACCACCGGACAAGCCGCTGCCGTAGTTTCAAAATTAGCCACCCCTGTACATTTAGCCGTCACTGGTGCAGACATGACTGCCACCGCCGTAGATCTGAACGCCGCCAGCCCCCAACTGTCGCCCTTGCAGAGTCCGCCACCACCACTGCAGATCCCTCTGCCGCCGTTCCGATCACCACAACTTCATATCTGGCCGATGTCGCCTCTTATGCCAACTTGTTTATCAAAATGACAACATGAATTGAGAATGCCATCTTAATGGCATTTTTAAAGGAAAATGCAAATTTTGTGAAGTGTAATAATGCCATTTTAATGGCATTCTGACTTCTGAGAAAAAAATTTGGCAATTGTAATAATCAAAGAATTTGGCATATCTGAACCGGAATTTCTACTCACTCCTTGGTTGTTCGCCTCTTCTCGCCTCTACGGCTCGCCGATGCTCGCCTCCAGCCAATACTCGTCGTTGCCGCACGGCCCACACACCACACCAGAAGAGCTTGTTGTTGAAGCTTTCCAATCGGAGAAGATGAGCGGAGAAGAAAACTCACCATCTTGCAACATGAATTATGAGCAGATCGGAGAAGATGAGTTAGTATGAGGAGAAGAATTTAAGAATCGAGAGGAGAAGAATTTAAGAATCGGAGAAGAAAAGCTATTCTACCAAGAAGAGAAGCTGAGCAGGTGATGCGTGGAGAAGGAAAAGTTTGCGTGGAGTAGGAAAGGTCTCATGAGACGGATTGAACTTAGAAAGAGGGTAAAATTGGAATAATTGTCCTATTAGGGAATAAAAATATATCAACTCCTATTTGGGAATTTAACTAATAATTAAGTCCTATTTAGGACAATAAACTCTTTTTATAAAATCAGAAACATTCCTTGTTTGTCCTTCCATCATTGCAGAATGTCAAACTCTGATTCCTTATCTAATTCGGAGTTAAGATCTTATTTTTTTTTTTAAAAATAATTTTTATGATAGTTTCAACCTTAGAGCATATAGTAACTAACATTTCACTTTTAATAATACTCATTTCAATTTTAATTAAAATTTATTTGAGTGTTTTTCGTCGATGAAAACATAAAACTTTCTAATTCATCGGAAAAATGCATTTTCATTACTTTTTTTTATGTATAAAAGGATTATTAGTTACTCATTGGATTTCGTCGGGCCATTTTCCACCAAGTGATTTATTGGAATCTTTGATTCTTCTTTTCTGGAGTTTTGCTCTTATTAATAGCCTTTCCTATTCAAAAAAAAAATACAAAATTATTAAGTACAACAATAACCCTGATTGATTTTTGTATCCAGACTTTTGCTACTTCGAGTCCTTTCACAAAAATTAAAAAATCTTCAATATTAGTCCCCGCTCTTCAATTTGAATGGTTAATAATGCACGTAAGTATGATGACGGTCAGCGGCGGAACCAGAACTTTTTTCGAGCAAGTGCCGAGGAATGTATCAAATAAATACATCATAATAAATTTAGAAAAAAAACACATATGATTGTCTAAATTAAGTGTCGTAAAGCTTAATGTTTACATATAAGTCCAAAACTAACTACTCTGGGAAATTAGGGGCGATAATTGTGTTCTGCGAGTTCGCATCTGTTGAAAGCGTTGCAAAATTACTTCATTTTCAATGGTTGCAAAAATCTCTTTCTCGATATATACAACCAAGCTATCATTCATCCATTCATCTCCCATCCTATTGCGCAAATCAGTCTTGATAATTTTCATAGCAGAGAAGACTCTTTCTACTGAAGCAGTTGCAACCGGTAAAACCAAAGCTAACTCAATAAGATGGTATACCAATGAAAAAACCTTGTTCATTCCAGTTTGAACCATTTGCTTGGCAAGACATCCTAAATCATCAACCGTAGAAAATTGATCATGATCCCGGACGGTATGAATATAAGTCTGAAGTTGTTGCTTGAGTAAAACACGATCAGTACATGAAAAGTCCTCCGGATAAAGTTCAGCCATGCGGAGTAATTTGTCAATGTCAAAATGACAAAAAGAGTTTCTCGGATCAAGACATGCAATACAACTCAACAACTCCGTACTTGCTTCAGGAAAACGATTGCTCATCTCTGAAATCATCTTATCAAGAACCTATCACACCCTAAAGACAACATTATTGAGCAAAAGTATTATTATCAATTTATAATAAAAGAAGATGTAAAATAATTATACCTCACAAAATATTCCCCCACGAAAGTGGATCAAATTCGAAATTGTCTCTCCATTTCGCCTACTACGACCACGAACTTTCACATGTTCTTCCATATTAGATAATGGAATCTTTTGATTTTCACAAAAAAGATTCACTTCCTTGAAGAGATTATCCCATCCATTATCTCGAAATTCTTGTAATTGGGCCTTCATTGTACTAATCAAATGAATAGCCAAGACAATATTTTGATCTTTTTGTTGCAAGGCAAGAGACAATTCATTTGTGATTCCAAGTAGATATATCATCAAGTGCATCACAAATACAAATTCACAATTCTCCATCTTATCAATTAAACTTGAAGCTATTCCTCGCTCTTCATTAGCACCATCCTCATACACATTCTCAAGAGCTTTTAATACGGAACTCCACATAGACATCAAGCGAATAATAGTAATGTAATGTGATCCCCAACGAGTATCTCCTGGCCTTTTCAAACTAACTTCTTGATTTTTCCCCTTGCCACTTACAATCTCCCCACTTTCCAAACTTTCTAGAAGCCTCTCATGTTCTATTTGTCTAAGTCTATCTCTTCTTTTACATGAAGCCCCGGTAACATTCACAATCATAGTGACATATTGAAAAAAGTCACACACAATTCTATTACACTTAGCAACAACAACAACAACTAATTAGAGTTGGTGTGAAAAGCAATGGACATACCTTGCGGCTGAATTTTCTTTCAAGATGAGAGCGTTCAATCCATTATACTCACCTCGCATATTAGAAACTCCATCGTATCCTTGACCTCTTAATCTTGATATTGACAATTTATGTTTTGCAAACAAGTCATCAATATAGTTCTTTAAAGAAAGCGCCGAAGTGTCATTGACATGCACCATAGCAAGAAAACGTTCAATGACATGTCCAAATTTGTTCACATATCTCACAACAACTCCCATTTGCTCCTTGATTGAGACGTCTCTAGATTCATCAACCATAAGAGTAAAAACTTTATCCCCTAAGTCTTCAAGAATAACTTTGGTAACTTCCACAGAACAAGCATTAGTTAGCTCCTTTTGGATTTTAGGAGATGTCATTAAATTATTCCCGAGAGCATTCTCATTCATTGTTTTGGCAACTTCTTTACTTCTTTGGGTATACCATTGAATTAATTCAAGGAAATTACCTTTATTCAAAGAATTCGAAGACTCATCATGACCACGAAAGGGCAAACCTTGTTTCAAAAGAAAACGTGTTACATCCAAAATCGCTGTTAAACGAATTCGATATGCAGCTTCTATTTCACGCCCTTGAGCACTTAGCAATTGTGATACACTTTGTCTTTGATTTTGAAAACCCTCAAGTTGTACTCTTGCATTATTATGAGCACTATCTACATCACCAACATGTGTATTAAATGTTTCAAGTGCTTTCCTCGAATTACTAACCCCACCTCAGTGAATGCCACTTCCCCAGCCCGACATCCTCTATTTGAATTTTTGAAGAGATAGCACCATAGACAAAAAGCGGCATCTTTTGATATGCTATATTCTAACCATGGATATTTGTCAAACCAAGAGGGTTGAAAACTTCTATAATCGGTCCCATATTTTTTACGAGGATAAACATGCCCAACCGGTTTACAAGGACCCCTAGTTAAGTATTCTCGGCGGACAAGATCTCTACTCAAAGGATCAAAATCATTAATAGGTCTACGTAAACCTGGATCAGCAACCAAATCTTCGGGATTTAGTTTTGTCCTTTTATTTTTTTCAGAAGGACTTTTTGAAGACTTTCCATTTGGTATTAAGAATTTCAACATTCTTAACCTAACAAATTGTACAAGTGTACAACAATAAATTCATATATTAATAATTAATTAGCCTTGATTTGTATGTAATCACTACATTCACTATTAAATTAACAACTAATAAGACAATTTAGTTAAAAATGTATAACGAATTGCCAAAATTTTAATTTAAATAAAAAGGGGAAAAATAGAAAAATTGAAAATAGGACTATAGAAGTACTGGTCAAAGTGGCGGCGACGAAAGAACGGCGGTGTCCGGCGTCCGGCGTGCTGCGATGTCCGCTGGTCACTTCATTGGTTGCTTGAGCTGCACGCAGGGATGGAAGACCGAAGACGGAAAGCTGCGTGCTGAACTGCTGAAGCTTTTGGAATTTGGATTACCTCTAAATTCTAATTGCCTATTGGTTATTCACTGATTTGGTTTGGGACTTTGGGCAATGGGCTGCAGGCTGCTGGAGTGCTGGTCATTGGGCCTTCCTTGGCCCGATAGGCCTTTTTTTTTTCACAGCATAGGCCCAAATTTTTAAAGGTCTGATTTTTTCCAACTCCCTTCTTCCCTATCCTCCAGCCGGCAACGACGATTAGCTAGCGGCAGGTGAGCAGTCCGGAGTCACAGAGCTCTCCGGAGTCTCCACCTCTCTGACTCCGAGTCTCCGGCAGTCCGGCTCAGCGGCTCTCCAGCGAAGGGGGAAGGGTGCTGGTAATGAAACTGCGGCAGGTGAGCATGAGCGCCGGAAAACTATACATATATATATACCTAGACTACTCTGGCGAAGGGGGAGCGCCGGCACCGGCTCGCCCCCTGGGTCCGCCACTGATGACGGTGGTTAATAAAGTGACTGGGCTTCTTCTAAATTTTGAATTTTATAAAGTTTCCTTATTTACTACATGCTGATAAAAATCATTGTTTTTTTACGATGCATATGTAGGAAGTCTCTGGTATATTATAGTATTTTTTTGTCCTTTCTATGGTGGGGATAGTCGCACGTAATGACAAATAACGGCCATATTATTCAAAGCTTGTGGTAAGAATGGATTTCATTCTAGTTAGGCATGGACTGGGCCGATTCGGCCCACTGGGATTGGGGGCCCGAACCGGGGTATTATGGGTGGGCTTCGGGCTGCTGAAAAGGTGGACCGGCCCTGCTGGTCAGGGACTGGTCTGGGCCTTCTTTCCATTTTAAACAAAAAAAACTTGACCCAACCCGGCCCCGGTACAAACCCGGGCCGTATCGGGCATGCACCCTAAAAACCTAGGCCCGTCCAATCCCGGCCCGGCCCGGGTGCGGTCCAACCCTAATTCTAGTGCTCTAAAATAATATTCCAAATCTTTTGTATGTTCACCATTACTTGTGCGGATAAGACCTATATTATACAATATAACTTCGATCATAGGAATCCATTTCTAGTCGCATTGCTTCATAATAATAATTAGGGAAAAGTACGGATTAGATACCTGTGGTTGTGGGCGTTTTCACTTAGGGGTCAATGATGATATTTGTAACAAACGCAGCCTCGTGTTTTGCTATCGTTACCACCCATGGGGTCTATTGGACATGGCCGTTAGTTAAATGTGACGTGGCATATATTTTTTTCCAAATAGGCTCCAGCGTGGCCAAATAGTGTATGGCATAAAGCTCGGGAGGATCCGACCCGAATAGCTGGTTCTTCAATCCGGACTCGGCGGAGGAATTCGACCAGAAGTTCTTCAGGAAATTCACCCTCCTCGGCAACCTATGCCACCAGACGAACACCTCGTTGAGGAAGCCGTGGTCGCCGCCGTTGTAGGAGACGATCTCCTCCCGGCGCTGCATCAGCATTTGGAACGTGCAATCGAAGGGCTCTATCACCATCATGCCGGAGTTAAATATAGATCCGTCGTTCCCGGAGGTGGACATCTGAGGAAATCCAAAGAGGAAATCGATGTTGCCATAGCCGGAACTTGTTGTAGTTGTATTCGTTGTAGGTGCCCTTCTCGGATCTGGGATTTCGGATCCTCTTGATGAATCGGAGCTTCCACCCGGATTTGATGAGAGCGTTGCGTTTGGATGGGGAGATGCTTTTGTCCAGGAGGAGGATAAGGTCGCGTTTGGTTCCGGTTCGGAAGAGCTTTATGCCATTGGCCACGCTGGAGCCTATTTGGAAAAAAATATATGCCACGACGCATTTAACTAACGACCAGGTCCAATAGACCCCACGGGTGGTAACGGTAGCAAAACACGAGGCTGCGTTTGTTACAAAGATCATCACAGACCCCTAAGTGAAAACACCCACAACCACAAGTATCTAATCCGTACTTTTCCCTAATAATTATGATCCATTTCGGACATAAGTAAATGCAACGTTAGATATAAAGAAAGCTCGTTAATCGAGTTTTGTGCAATGACAGGAGTAATTTTTCTCTCGAAAGATTAAATATTGTAGATATAAAATACATTTACCCTTATATGAAGAAATAACTAGTTTCGAGGGAGGGGTTACGTTAGCATATTGCCATGAAATTCATTAAATAAATTATGAAATAGATTACTAATGAGAGAATTTCCCAAATGGGACTAAAACTTGGTTAAAACTCCAAAGTAGGACATTAAGTTTTTTATTACCTAAATAGGACTTTTAATTACCGATCGGACAAAATTGCCCTTAATGAATTTAGCGCATGATCTTTAGACTTCTGACTACTCTGTTGCGGTGCCCTGCACCGATAACTTCATATTGCCGGCACCACCACCCTCTGTGCAAGGCTTCAGTGCACAGACTTCCACTGTCGTTGGCTGATTGCCGCCGCCTGGGTGATTGCTGCCACCTAGGTGAACGCCGTAGCTGCCTGGCATGAGTTGCAAGATAAGATCGCCATTGTATATCTCTTGTAAGATGGATTCCACTGCCCTCTTTTGTAAAAAAAAATGTCACCTCTGTTCCCAAAATGTCATGAAGATGACATTTCCATATATAAAAACATGGCAGTGGAGAATGTCAAGTTGGTGCCATTTTTACTCTTTATAAATGTCAAATAAAAACTGTCATCTTGGTAAATGTAATGTCAAAACAGTGACATTTTTTTCAAATGAGTGTTCAATAAAATAACAATTATGCCATTTGCAGGTCCAATTAGTGAGAAAAATAGTATGAACGATTTAAAGTGAATTAGATGGAATTTATAAAAAATGAAGAGAAATGACTTTCACAATTCAAAATTTTATTTAAAATTTGATTGATAAAAAACTAAAAATAATGTTAAAATAATGTTGGCATTTTGGAATAGAAAGATGACATTTACAAAAGGAGAAGAAGAAGAGCAAGAAGAAGAAGAAGAAGAACAAGAAGGAGAAGGAGATGGAGGAGAAGAAGAAAAAAGAAGAAGAAGAAGAAGAAGGAGAAGGAAAAGAATACCTGATTTTGCTGGAGATGGCGTCCGGCGTCGAGCAGGCAGCTGCGATGATAGGCCAGCGTCGAGTTGCGAACTTGCGATCGATGGAGGTTGAGCTGCGATCGAGTTGCGAACAATTGAGCTGCGTCCTCTGGCAAGCGATGCAGGGGGATTTGGGGAAAAGGTGATTTAGGGATTATGGGCAAAAAGGTAATGTGGAGTCCCATTTAGGAAATTTAAAACTTGAAGTCCTATTTTGGAGTTTTAACCATGTTTTAGTCCCATTTAATATAATTTCTTATTACTAATCTCATTGAATTACGCTTGAGGATTTAAAAGGTTGTTGTTGTACAACGGTGACCCATTGTAGAAATAACTATAGTATTACATTGGGATATGATGATGTGATGCAATTATTAAGCAAATTGAGTTTATGTAGCTGATACTGAATTGGTAAAGTAAGAATAATTTAGAATCACACAAACTTCACCAAATTTGGTATGAGATAATTTTATTGGGGCAAACAAAAAAAATGGAACAATCTTAGTAGAACAGAGGGAGTAACTTGCAAGTTTGAAAGGAGGATCAAGAACAAAAGCAATAACATAATAGGCAAAATATATGCATAATATTTTAAACACTTTCCTTTAATGAAATTACAAAAATAAATAACATAAGATACTTTGGAAAATTCTTGAAAAGCACCCGCATGATTAAAAGCTTCCATTTTATTCTTACTAGTAGCTTCTATAAACATAAGAAAAAAATTGAGTAGTTACAAATTTCTTTCAAAAAAGTAGGAAAATAGTCCATAAATCTAGAAAGTATAGAAATTAATTTATAAGTACTACTCCAACAAATAGATAAATCTTTAAGAAAAGTATTGTACATAACACATTTAAGTTTCAAATAAGCACATCATTGCAATTTAAGCTGAGTATTACCCCAAGTAAGTCTAATATCCCCTTAACTTTCTCCATCACATTTCTTAATGCAGTTAAGCCATCTTTCACATATAAATTAATAATATGATATGCACAACATTCATGAAAAAATCTACTCATCAAAGTAGAAGAACCATATAATTCACGTAATATAGATATAGCAGCACCAGTACCTACTGCCTAGCAATAGGGAGTTGAGAAAGAGATCAGAATAAAACTCCAATCCCATTTTAAACAAAGTAACAAACCAATGATCTTCGTATCTTCATAAAAACCATTTAAAAGCAGGTTAAGCAAGCAGTGCACTCCAATGAAAGAAAAAGAATAAGGGTGTAGGACATCAAAGGAAACCACATGTGACAAATACTTGAAGTGCACACAAGCCTTCACCAGGGACATGCTTTCAATTTTGAAGACCCAAAGGAATAAAAACCTACCAAATTTCCAACCTACAAACAACAAAAAGCATAGACGATAAATTTAGACTTAAAGCTTGCCTACTTTTGGGTGGTTTAGATCAGCAGATTCATATAGCTCTATGGTTTTGACAATCCTGTTTGCGTGATTGGAAATTAAGGCAATATTAACTTAAGAGTTATAGGGAATAATCTAAGTAGATCATCAATAAGTGCAACATACATTGAACAAATTAGACATGATGAAACTTTAAATGGGTTCAGAAATGCATACAAGAAAAAGGAATAGAGTTCTTATTAATGTTACTTCTACTCTAAGATCTTAGTTAATATGAAGTAGTCATTTATATTAACACATATGAAGATTCATCTGACATTAACATTGAATTCCAGCTATTGCTGTCATCACGTTCAAAGATGAATGATCAAACAAGCCTTGAGGTTTGCTTATGGGGTCAAGAAAAAGATGACTGCAACAAGTGCCATGGAAAAACAAAAGCATGCATATGCTTAGGCCACTAATATGCACGTTATGAATGAATAGTTTATAATGACCAAATCCATATGTAACTATGAGCATATAGATATACGAGTGCTACCAAATTACTGCAAAAATGGAGACTTGGCAAGCTTTTTGAAATTTGAACTACTGAGCGAATTTTAGAACTAATGTGTTTGTGAAGCCCTTACCAAAGATTCACTATTTTTTGGCTTGGGAATATGATTGAATAAAGCAAAACGGCTCACTAAACTGTCTGTGTCTCTTTATTATGAAGCAACAGTCAGTCCATGCAATTTTCGACGTGATTTTCATCATGGGTCATCCGGAAATAGTCTCTTTGTACTTTAGTATAGGGGTAAGACCGCGTACATCCGACCCCCTTACCCCACCGTAGGTGGAGCCTTTGTGGCACTGGAGTACTGATGATGATGATGAACATATTAAGAGTTTGGGAGACAACAGCTGGTCAAGTTCATATAACTTAATAATTTCAACTTGAAATATAAAAATAGAGATAATTACTCTAGGTATGACTAATACTCTCCCACTTCCCCAATCTATGACCTAACTAGTTTTTTTTTTCCAAAATAATATTTAAATCTATAAAGTTTAATTAGTTTCATAATTAATTAATAAAAAAATACTTTTTATGGACTAATATACCCTTTAGGTTATACCTATAAAACCCTAACCTTACACCCCTTTTCTCCAACACTAGCCTCTAGTCTCCAACCCTAATCGCACGGCCGCCTGCCATTCCCCGACTCACCGTCCAGCCGCACGGCCGCTGCCGACCAGTAGCACCGCCACCGACTTGTAGGACCACCACCGTCCAATAGCAATGCCGCCACCGTCCAAAAACTAGTTAGGTCATAGATTCGGAAACTAATTTAGTTTTAGTCATATCCTAAGAAATTTCCAATAAAAATAAGCATACGAGGCATCATTACACTTGGTGTCAGTAATTCAAAAATAAAATCCTATTTTTGCAACAACAACAACAACATCCAATCCTTAGTCCCAAAAGATTTTGGGGTAGGCTAACAAGAATCGATCCATGATATTGTTGTCAAAAAGAGAAGACAACCAAGAAAAAAAATAAAAAGATAAAACGGATAAGATAAAGATAAATAAATATAAGAAAAACAATAACATAAGAAAGATAAAACATAAAAAGATAAATAAAATCCTATTTTTGCATGCTAAATAAATGTCATGCCTTTCATTTCATCCCAATAAAGCAATCTCGAACTGGTTTTCTCTATTATCAGGTTATCAACCAATGTAGTTAGTCTAGACAAATAAAGTTAGTTTTTGACAATAATAATAACTAAATTATAAGGAAAAAGGTTTGTGCCTAACGAGCACCAAACCGCAATCCAAACAATATAAATAATGCAATAGAACGTCAATTAAAGAAGTAGCCTTACCTTTAAAAAACTATTATCTTTTGGGCCTCTTAGAATATTGTTAAAGAACGCTGCAGGAGGACATGAATTATGAGGAATGATAAAACTCTAAATCCATAACATAGATAGATGAAGGTACCAAATAATAAAACTTCATGGCGGTTTAGTTTTCTTCATTTTCTACGGTTCTACCATAAAAATATGCATCACGTACCCGGATGTTATTTGCAGTCAATTTCAGTTAATGAAATACAACAACAACAACATCCAAGCCTTAATCCCAAAAGAATTTGGGGTCGGCTAACATAAAAATAAATAGATAATTTTACTTCGACTTGCTGTAAATACATGATTTATGGCAAAGAACATGAAACTCCACATCATAACAGTAAATTCAAATCGAAATATTAGTATGACTTCATAAGCTAAAATTATACAAATACTTCATGAAACAATCAGAACTTTTCAGAAAAGGGAATATTTAGCCATTTGGAAACTCAACAAGTTGAAATCAGCCCAATCACAATTTCATTAAGATATGGAAAAGAAAACAAACTAATTATTGAATCATTTAAAGAAAAGAAAATTCCATATTTAATTCAATAAAATTGGCAATGTGCCCGGACAATTCATTTAAATCAAAATGCAAATTAGGCAAAACAAATTTAAATTAGACACAGAAAACCTGGCTGGAGGATGGAAAATCCTTTCGATTCTCTCGCCCTGATTTCTTTTATTTGAACCAGAAAATCTGGAGGTGTTCGTGTCCTGACGTTTCTCTTGCCCTGGTTTGTAAATATTCCATCAGAAGAATGCACGACGGAATGATCCTCAATTCGTTTCCCTCTCCTCATTTTTTTGCTTTCGTAAAAGGAATAGAGGAACGATATCTTAAAACCTGGACTTATTGGGTAAGGACTAAGGAGGAACTTGGATGCAATTTAAATATATTTTTAACAAATTTAAATATGTTTTGAATAAATAACCAACCAGATTGTGCCAAGTGTGAAATGCACCAAAACAGTTCAAAACATGAGTGCACGGTAAAAGTTTCCTAAAGAAAAATGCTTAAAACACAACACTACAGGTCTGTCATTACAATTTAGTACTCCGTATAGTTTAGATTACATTTGAGTAAACCCAATCAATAACTTTAGGAAAATTTTTCTATCAAGATGTGCAACTACATAGGGAGAGGCTTACTTTCCCCCAAAAAGCAAAAAATGGCGCTAAATCTTGCGTGTTCTGTAGATTGCAAACACTAGCAACCATGGGACTGAAATGCTATATATAGGAAAATGGATGAATACGTTCATTTCATATGCTTTCGAAAGAACTCGGCAACTCTGCATACAAAAGTCAAACTTCAAACTCAAAAAAAGAAGTAAAGATGCAAAATACAGAGAAAATCTTTCACGTATCTATAATTTTCTTTCCCCAGGCCATACTTGATCACTCAATTTGGTGTTCAACTTTTTTTCTTATTAAGTATTACCCTCAACATTGAAATTCAGAACCAATTTTTGGTCCTTATACATATTTGGTTACAAAACCAGGTTTTCCTACCCAACCACTAAATTGGGACTCAATTTGGCCCTCAACATAATATACATTGGACACAATTTAGTGCCCAACATACGAAAATGACATTCTAATTAGAGCGGAATATGCACGAGGACTAAATTGTGAACAGAAAGTCAAGGACCATATTGAGAGATGGTGTAGCTGAAGCATCAAATGGGGTATACTTCATTTAAAGACTGCACTACTGAAAATCTTCATGCCCAATCTTGAACAACTTGGAATTATACTTCAAATTTGGCTCAGAGAAAGAAACATAGAAGCATATTCTCAAAAGCCTGAAATGAAGCGAATAGAACTTACCAGGAAATGGACACAACAAATTGTCAAACATATCAGCATGAGGACCTTCCTAATCCAACGCACACTATGAGGTAAAGCATTGGATCCCTTCTTTGAATCGAAATCATCCTCTTTTTTACCAGAAAGAAAACGCATACTATCTCGATGCACTCCTGCTTCAACAACCAATGCTCCAATTACGAGACAAGTAGGCAGCACCACGACATAAAGATGTGGGATAACAACCACCATTACATCCGGAAACCCTACAAATTGTATATTCTCCTTTGTCAAAAACTTGAATGCCCAACCACGATAAGTCATGTATCCTTTTTCTCCTTCAGCGAGACCTTGACCACAAAGCCAGGGGCATAATATGAGGTAAAACAAATAACCAATCATGCCAACCCATACCCATTGAACGCTGTATAATTCCGTCATAATCCATCTGACATTATTTACTAGTTCTCTGTTGTTATTAAAATTCATACCACAAGTACTGAGCTGCCGTCTAGAAAATGATATTATGGTTTTTGGAACTAGAAGAAGGGAAAGAACGATTATGTAAAGGGACCATAATAATGGGTAATACAAAGCATCCCATTGAAACCTCATAACCATAAATTCTTTCCAATTCTGTGAGAGCATATTACGTTGACCAACAGAGAACGGCCGTAATTCAGTAAAAGATGATCTTCCACTGATGTCAACCGCCCCTATTTGCAAAAAAAAACCGCTCAGGCGATGGATCTTCAAAGGAATTGAAATCCCACGGGCAACTATAAAGGTCCCCCCTTGATGAGGATGAATTCTGCATTTTCATCATTCCAGACTCTGATACCAAACTGAGACTTCCCAGCTTTGAATCATAGATCCTGGCCACGACAGACACTATTTGTGAAGAAGAAAACACAAGAGCTCTTATGTGATTGAAAAATGTGGGGCCCACTGGCAGGGAGTTGTCAAAAACAAAACGTGAGTCAGGTGGGAACGTAGGCAATATAATAGTACTTTCCTTCACCCTCAATCTGAAGTCTAAATCTATAAATGAAATAAAACCTCTATCAACAGCCAAGATACGCATTGTTCTGCTCTTCTTCCAATCACCCATTTCCCACTCCCAAAATCCATGAGCTTCGTTGAGATTCTTCTTAGAGAAGTGTTTGGGCCTCTCATGAAGCCATTTTAAATTCTTCCCAAACGTTGTGTGCAAATGCCCACATAGGTAAACAGACAAAGATTGGTTCAGAAATACATCCTTCAAAGTCCTCCCAGAATATGCTGCAGCAGAAAAGGACAATGGAAAATGCCCAAATGAAATCTTCAGAAGAGATGCTGTGGGTTCAGTGTCCCATTGTGAAAGTTCAGAGTTTATTTCAGCTAACAGGTGATCAGTTGGGTGACCAAATAAGTTAGTTGGGCCCCGTAACCCTGACGACATTGTGCTGTCAAACGCAACGAAAAGTAGATTGCAGGTGCCAGTCTGGAAGATGGATCACATGCATCAAAGAACGAGAAAAAGCCGAGTGTTTTCAATAACATCCACGTAAAACAAACATGCTAGGATTATTAGTACAACATGCATCAGAGACAAGAAAAGGCTGCATGGTTTTCAGTAACATCCACGTAAAACAAACATGTTACTATGCTGGGATTACTAGTACAACCAAAACAAACAGAACTCAGGGCCTGGTTATCTCAACTGACACATAATACATTTGGGTCAGACCATACTAAAAGATTAGTATCTAGCTATAAGAACTCGGCAGCTTATTTGGTGCCCATATCAGTCGAATAACCCGCACCAAACGGGCTCTTATCATCATCATGTAAGTTCCCCAAAACAGGGTGCAGACACAGGAACTGGATAGTAAATAACCTGAACTCTAACACTGTTGACCCGGCCAGTTCTTCTTAGCTGTCCATTGATGCTATACTTTGAGTAAAAATCAAACGAACTACCAATGCTTGCACCATATGTATCATGATTTCCCCTAAGGTCAAAGAAATTGGTCTTGTTCAGTCCACTCTTTTTAATGACATCTTCCATAACTTCCTGATATTCTAACCATTCTGCTTCGTCTTGATTTGATGTTAGCAAATCCTTGCTTTTTGCATCTGGAAGAAGTTGAGAAGTTGATAAATTCAAAAAACGTGACCCAATTGAGAGTTTAGATAAATATTATTGCTAGATTGCATTAACAACTATTTTGGGAGTATACAACATGAAACTTAATGTTAAAAAAAATATAATACATTAATAATCACAAGAGTAACGATGAGTATCTAATGGTTCAGTGAAGTTTAGGAGAATGAGGTAGATTTAAGTCTTAACGAATGAAGGCTTTGTACTCTATTCATAATAAAACCCCGAGTAGTGAAGCAAATAGTTACCGGTTAGGTCACCGGTGAGGAAAACCAGGGAAGGATTGACCATGGAGAGAGTAGGACCCACAATGTCCTTGAAGTCCAGTGCTCTCTCTGGATGGTGGGAGCTAAAGTGCAGATCAGACAGCTGAACAACCCACGCGACATCCTCTGGTCCGCCCTTGAGCTCTATAGTGGTTCCCTTACCACGGGTATCATCATTGTGGCCTTCACTCCCTAAGCCGCCGGCGCGTGATGCCAATATCAACACGATCGCTATAAGGCGGCATAAATGGAAGATTAGGCTGATCAAAGTGATCATTGTGTTGAGGGACAGGTTAGATTAGTACCCATCACAGACTCTTGTTTCTCTTTGTACAGTTGATATCAAAATACTAGGCATGGGATTTGAAGAAATGAAACTATGGGATTTGAAGAAATGAAAGAGATTAAGGGAGTGTTTGGGATGAAGGACCGTTTGATATTGTTTTTAGTGATTTTTTTAAGTGATTTTGGTAAAAAGTGATTAATAGTAAAAGTTGGTAGTGTTTGAGAAAAAAGTGATTAATAGTAAAAGTTGGTAGTGTTTGAGAAAAAAGTGATTATGAAAAAGTAAAAGTTGGTAATGTTTAATAGAATAAGTGATTTTTGCGTAATAGAAAAAGTGAAAAGCAGTTTAAGGAGGTGTTTGGAACTGATTCTGATTCTGCTTCTTTTTTAAAGTAGAAGCAGAATCAAAATCAGTTTTCAAAAGCTGGTCACCCTCAGCTTCTAAAAAAAGTGATTCTAAGAGTAAATTAGAGTACCAAAATCACTTCTGCACTTTTACCCAAACACTCCAACTTCTGCTTCTGCTCCCTGAGGGAGCAGAAGCAGTTTTAAGAATCAAATCCAAACACCCCCTAAAACATCTCTCAACCTGCTTTCAACTTTTTAGCTTTTAAGTGATTAATTTAAGCAGAAGTTATCATTTGAAAGCATTCATTTCAGTTTTTTTTTAAGTCAAAAGCTGAAAAGCACTTATTTTAATCTTTAGCAAACACTCCTTAGGAAGGGTATACCTTACGGTCCGGGCTTCACCCTACAGCCATGTTAAGACTTGCAATCTATACCTCTAAGCAAATAAGAAATATAATTTGTGATGTTAAGTGCAAGGAGAAAGCTTGGTGTGCATTATGGCCAAATCGGCTCAGTTAAATACTATGTACATGTGAGTATGCAGACTCCTGATAAGCTAAACAACTAAGCAAAGTAAATTATTGCCTAAAGACTCTCTCTACAATCTTATCAACTAATAGAGATAGGGCCCACTAAAATGTGTACATACACTGATACACGTTACAAAATAAATGTACAATAAATATAATAAATAACTAATCCCGTTATGTACATGACCGAACACTCCTCCTCAAGTTGGAGCGTGCGGATCCCAAACACCCAACTTGACCAATAAGTAGGAGAATTGATCAATCACAATGGCTTTGGTGAAAATATCAGCAATTTGATTTGAGGATGGCACATGAGAACTGAGAAGAGAACCACCGGTGATGAGATCACGAATGAAGTGACAATCTAGTTCAATATGCTTAGTTCATTCATGAAACACCGGATTAGAAGCAATATGAAGTGCAACCGTATTATCACAAAATAACTTCTAGGGTTGAGGATGAAAAATACCAAGAGAATGCAAAATATTTTTTAACCATAGAAGTTCACATGAAGCGCTTGCCATAGAGTGCTACTCGGCCTCAGCTGAAGATCTAGAAACAGTAGGTTGTTTCTTAGTCTTCCAAGAAATAGGAGATGATCCAAGAATAACATAATATCCGGTAACAGAACGACGAGTGAGAGGACAACTAGCCCAGTCAGAATCACAATAAGCAGAGATAGAAAGATCCGAATCAACTGGCAAAAATATACCTTGGCCCGGACAGCTCTTTAGATATCGAAGAACCCTTACCGCAACATTCCAATGATCAATCCGCGGTTGTTGCATAAATTGTGCAAGAGTATGCACAGAAAAACATAGTTCAGGCCGTGTTAAAGTAAGCTAAATTAGTGTTGGGTGTGTTTCGGAAAAAAGGAAATTAATTAAAATAAATTAATTAAATAAAATGACTAGAGAAAAACAAGAAAGGAGATGAAGCAGAATTAGTCAAAGCTCGTGCTACGCACGATGTCCTTAAAACGTATTTGTTGCCTCCCACGGTGTTAGGAGCGTTGCAACAATCGTTTCCCAGGATACGATGACTACGAACTAGTGTTTCAGCACACAAACAAGAATTCCAGCGAACGAGAACCAAGTATGAACACAGAAGGAATTTGCAGAGTAGCTGGAAGTGTTTTTAGCTGAAGAAAACGTGAGGAATGTATTGTGTGTTGTGTCTTGTTGCAAACCACCTGCCAGCTATTTATAGGAGGATTTGTTGTGTGTTAAATGGGTGTTAATGGACCTGAACGTTGGACATCAATGACCAGTCCGTTGGGCATTGAATCGTCCATAAACTGTCCATTTAACGCAGCATTAAAAGATAAGAACGTTGGGCATTAACTTTCGTAACGGTAGAATTGTGCGACAGAAGACCCCCAACAGAACACCCCTTCGAGGGGTTCTGCCCGAAGCCAACAGAACACCCCTTCGAGAGGTTCTGCGAGGCCTTCTGTCCGGAGCACTTCTGGGAAAAATAAACGTTTTGGGAAGAAAACAAAAATTAACCGTATCTCTTGAGAGATAGATTTTTGGACGGCATTCGTGTCCGCAGGTCGCCCGCGCACACGAGTCGCGGTTTTTCTTCTCCGTTTCGGGATTTGATCGGCACCCCTCCCCACCTCCCCGCACGTAAGAGAGAGCCTTTACCTTTAGGAATCCTAACTCCTTAAAAGAGGCTTCCCTTTATAAGGGGTGAAAATCCCTTGAGTTTTCCGATGTGGGATAAAACACATTAGAAACTCACCATTTTCCCAGTTTTTCCATTTCAACGAGTGAACTTCAAGAATCACATTCTCATTCACCCGTTATCCGTTTTGAGTGTACCACATATCGAATTGTAGCCCTTAACAAGGATAATCTGAAACCACTTTGACCCGACCCAAATCGGAAGTGGACCTCACTCAAATAATTGCCCCAAAATCACCATTTAATGCAATTTTAACACATTTTTCCAACAATCCCCCACATGAATGAAAATTGATTTTCGAGACTTAAAAAGACACGAAGATAGGAGGACACGTTGTGTTCACCGGATGATCCTTGCATACGGAGAGGTAGGTTTTATCCTTTGAACCTTCCGTTGTAAAGACATGTTTATTTACTGGCTGTCTAGTAGACTCGATGTCCTTGAACTATACTGCCGTCGTGTAAACATTGACTTATCTTTACACAAGAACCTTCCAACTTTGTTCCGTTCTCATGGGTGTGCTAGTTTTGGCCATGGGTCACCGTCCTGGTTCTGCAATAGTTTCTAAAGAACTGAGCCTATACAGTTCTCCTTTGAAGCCGTCCTCTTCTCTCTCACATAAGTGATTCTTTCACGAGTATCCCGCATACTCTTCCAATGTTATCGAGTAGATCAACATTTTAGAATCATTAAAGCAAACGTTTTTGCTAACCTCGTGCGGGAGTCACTGTTTTAACGAGGAGTGGGTAGGAGTCCGGGACTCCCACAGTGACCATCTTTCGCTCTATAATTTAGTTGTCCCTTCTGAACCTAGGACAAACTAGGTTGGGTATCCACTATAGAACTTTTCAATTCCCGGGCTTTAGTCCCATTCCTCGTGACAACTTCTCCAACAGTTCTCTATCCAATGCCTTGGTTAGTGGATCCGCTATGTCATCCTTTGACTTCACGTAGTCAACAATGATAACACCCGTTGTGAGGAGTTGTTTAATGGTGTTATGTCTACGACGAACGTGTCTAGACTTACCATTGTACATATTGCTCTGTACCCTTCCAATTGCCGCTTGACAATCGCAATTTATGTATATTGGAGGGACAAGGTTTTCCCAACTTGGAATATCCTCGAGAAAATGGCGTAGCCATTCAGCCTCTTCAGTGCACTTGTCCAAGGCTATTAGCTCAGACTCCATCGTGGATCTAGCTATCAACGTTTTTTTTTTAGGATTTCGATGACACGGCTGCTCTTCCCAAAGTGAAAACATATCCACTTGTGGACTTAGAGTCCTTTATGTCGGATATCCAACTAGCGTCGCTATACCCTTCAAGTACAACTGGATATCTTCCATAGTGTAGTTCAAGGTTTTGGGTTTTACGTAAATACCTCAAAACCCTTACTATTGCCTTCCAGTGTTCATCACCGGGGTTGCTAGTATATCTACCTAGCTTACTAACCACAAAGGCAATATCAGGCTTGGTACAACTCATTAGATACATCAAGCTTCCAATAATCCTAGCGTATTCTACTTGAGAAATACACTCTCCACGATTTTTGGTAAGTTGTACGTTTTTATCTAATGGAGTCCTTGCCTCTTGATAACCATCCTTATTAAATTTCGTAAGGATTTTATCAACGTAATGGGATTGGCTTAGCGTAAGACCGTCAGGTCCTCTAATTATTTTAATCCCAAGGATTAAATCGGCCAGCCCCATATCCTTCATGTCAAATTTAGAATTTAACATGCTTTTGGTAGAATTAATCATTAGATTATTGCTACCCACGATGAGTATATCATCCACGTATAAACATAAAATGACATAGCCGTCTACCGTGCTCTTCACATAGACGCATTTGTCACTTTCGTTTATTTTAAACCCATTAATTGACATTGCATGATCGAACTTTTCGTGCCACTGTTTAGGGGCTTGTTTCAATCCATACAATGATTTAATTAATTTACACACTTTCCTTTCTTGGCCTGGAACACGAAAGCACTCGGGTTGTTCCATATAGATTTCTTCGTCTATATCACCATTTAGAAAAGCGGTTTTTACGTCCATTTGATGAACTTCCAATTTCCGCAATGCGGCAATTGCTAGTATCATCCTAATGGAATTTATTCTCGTCACAGGAGAATACGTGTCAAAGTAATCATGGTCCTCACGTTGCTTGTATCCCTTGATTACAAGTCTTGCCTTGTACTTATCGATGGAACCGTCAGGTTTCATTTTCCGTTTAAAAATCCACTTGGATCCCAAAGGTTTATTTCCCGGAGGAAGATCAACCAATTCCCATGTGTGATTTTTAAGGATAGAATCCACCTCACTTTTGATGGCTTCTTTTCACATAGAACCTTCAGTAGAAGTCACGGCTTCCGTATAAGTCCGTTGCTCATTTTTTACCAAACATGTTAGAAAATCCGGTTCATTTTCTACCATACATGTTAGAATATCCGAGTCAAATTCTACCAGGTAGGTGAGAAAATCCGGTCCGAAGGATTTTTCAACTCTAGCACGTTTGCTACGTCTGGGTTCGGGTTCTTCTCCGGATCCC